GCCTGTAATCCCAGCTACTCAGGAGGCTGAGGCAGGAGAATCGCTTGAACCTGGGAGGCGGAGGTTGCAGTGAGCCGAGATCATGCCATTGCACTCCAGCCTGGGCAACAGAGTGAGACTCCGTCTCAGAAAAAAAAAACAAAACAAAACAGATATCTGTAAACATCAATAGAAAAGTTTAAGGATACTCTTCTACCATATTTTTATAAAAAACCTGACTTTTAAAACTTTTTTAATGTTCACTTCCTGACTTCGTGTATATACCTACTCAATTTTTTACATAATGGAATTGTATAGTTATATTATAGGTATTGTTTTGTGTTCCATTCTTTTCCCTAGTGATTTTTGCATTTTGCTACGTGGTTTTCATCATAATTATTATTCGTGACCTCGTAAGGTCCTTGAGTTGCTAGATCTTAATTTAAGATACTCACTTACGTTAGTCATGAAGGCTGTTTCTTTTGATTTTTTAAATGATGTCATAACACTTTTTTTTTTTTTTTGAGACAGAATCTTGCTCTGTCATCCAGGCTGGAGTACAATGGCACCATCCTGGCTCACTGCAACCTCTGTCTCCCGGGTTCAAGTGATTCTCCTGCTTCAGCTTCCCTAGGTAGCTGGGACTACAGGTGCCCGCCGCCATGTCTGACTAATTTTTGTATTTTTAGTAGAGACTGGGTTTTGCCCTGTTGGCCAGGCTGGTCTCTAGCTCCTGACCTCAGGTGATCCACCCACCTCAGTGTCCTAAATTGCTGGGATTACTATGAGTGAGCCACCACACCCGGCCCACATTTTTTTTATTTTTTATTTTTTTTGAGACGAGGTCTTGCTCTTTCACCCAGGCTGGAGTGCAGTGGCGTGATCCTGGCTCACTGCAACCTCCACCTCTCAAGTTCAAGTGATTCTCCAGCCTCAGCCTCCCAAGTAGCAGGGATTGATTACGGGTGCCCACCACCACGCCCGGCTAATTTTTATATTTTTAGTAGAGATGGGGTTTCACCATGTTAGACCCGGCTGGTCTCGAACTCCTGACCTCAGGT